GGAACCATTCAACATCCACCTGTGCCTTTACTCCTGAGTCGGTCCTTGTTCCTTAGCTGTTCCCTTCTCCTTGCAGCTCTGCGCACAGACACACTGGGAAGAGGCTCCCACTCTTCTTCTGCCCCGCTGACTCTGGAGGCAGCACATAACTACCAGATGGCCCTGGCCCCCTCTCTGCCTCCGACACAGAGCCCTCATCAGAGCCTTCCCCAGACTCCAGGGCTGGCCCATCTTCCTCCCCAACCTCCTCACTGTCCAAATCTGCTACTAACTCCGCTGGTGGGCCACAACCCTGGCAAACTCCCAAGATCGAATCAGCGTAGGCTGAAATGATCCACATGGCTTCTTACAAACCTTGCTAATTGCTAAGTTCGGCAGAGGAGGCTCTTGGGAATCTGACTCCAAACAATTAGTAATTACCACGCAACAGACGCTCAAGTGACTCCACTAAAACAGAAGCAACAAAAACAGCAGGCTAAATATATCAAAACACAAGAAAGCCAAGTTTCTCCATAAAATTTCAAGGAAAGGAAAAAAAAAATTCCCTGGCAAAGTGCTTGGGCCACCACAGGCACCTCCCCTGACATGAGTGATGTCAACCTGGCCACACCCACTCTGGCCACGCCTCCCCCCCACTGCCCTCCAAGGTTCAACATAATCCTGATGCGGCCCTCAATGAAATCAAGTTTGACACACCTGCATTAGAAAGAAGAAGGAAGTAATTTTGACCCTTAACCTCCAAGACCCCCCCCCCCGAAATGGGCAGATTATTCCTGTCTCCAGTGGGGGCCTGGAGGTCACACAGGCTGCAGTTCTCCCTTCCTAAAACTAGGTGAAAACACAGAGCAGTGCCTATGTGATGCTCCAAAGCACAGCCAGCTGTTACTTCTAGACCCGGGGGGGGTGGGGGGAGATGGGTTCCCCGTTCTGTCTAAATTGCCCCTTCCCCACCATAAATCAAATTGTTGCCAAAAACCTGAACATTCAACCAGCTTCTGTGGGTTGTGCGGAAAACATGAGGGTGAAGAGCAAAATACACCCAGTAGCAAATTCTCCACCTAGGGTTCACGTTGAAAGCCATGACAGATTTGGAACTGAGGAACATCATGGCAGCCAACAATCTTTTCAGTCCAATCAGAATAGAGCTGGAAGGGACCTTGGAAGTCTTCTAGTCCAAACCCCTGCTTAAGCAGGAGACCCTATAGCCATGATGACAAGCCCATGGCACATGTGTTGGAAGTGGCACGCAGAGCTGTAGCCTCTTCCGGGTTCTAGTGCACATGTATGCTGTCCAGCTGGAAGTGCCAGAAACAGGAAGAGCAGCTCCCTGGTGTGCATGCACGCACCAGGAAGCTGAGCTTCTGGTTCACGGTGCACACATGCACACCAGCCAACTGGTCTTCGCATGCATATGCATGTCAGAAGCCGGAAGACCAGGTGACTGGCGCACATGCACACGCCAGAAACCAGAAGCTCAGAACTGCTCTTCCAGTTTCCAGCACTCCCACCTGTGCACGCTGGGGAGTGGCTCTTTCAGTTTCCGGTGCTCCCCCGTGCGCCTGCGCATGCCCGTTTCAGCACTCAGTGCCAAAAATGTTCACCAACACTACCCTATACTATTCCAGACAAGTGGCTGTTCTCTCCTTGAAAGCCTCCACTGATGGAGCACCATTACTTCTGGTGGCAAGCAGTTCCACTGGTTAATTGTCCTCACTGTTAAGAAGTTTCTCCTTAATTCCAGGTTGCTGCTTTCCTGGATTAGTTTCCATCCATGGTTTCTTGTCGTGCCCTCTGGTGCTTTGGTAAATAAGTTGACCCCTCTCTTCTTTGTGTCAACCTCTCAAATACTGTAATCCTGCTATCATGCCCCCCCCCCTAGCTTCAATGGCCAACCAGGATGAGCCCAAAGCCTCCTCCCCAATGTTCCCTCTAAGCTGCGCGGGTGCGCAGCCACGCACGTGGCAACAAAACACCACGCAGCAGTTTCCAACTGCCACGCAGTGGTTTTTGTGAGACGCCCACTGGTGA